TTTTTTTTTTTTTTTTCATTCAGGGTTTTCAATGAAAGGAGAATTTAAACTGAATTAAAAATTGACCACCCCCCACTCTCACCGCCCAACCAAACTCTTCCAAATATCGCGTCTGTAGATTTACAGTGCACTGTGCACACACGAATCCCTCCTCCTTTCCTCGTATTTATCAAACAAGTGTTGAACATTTAGATGATTGTGGGTCCCACATCGCCGGGAGCAAGTACTTCCGACCGTTCATACCATGCGCATTGTAGCTAGCTCCAGTGGTCTTATCCGTCAAAACATAACCGGCGTAACCCGGATAAGCGCCCGACCCGAAAACGCCTGTGCAAGCCGTCACCGCTTCCAATGGAGCCGTTGGTGGGCCCTGGAAATACCCGTTGTTAAACGGGTTCGTTACGGTACCCGCCAAAACAGTTGCCAAATTAATCACCATCCCGTCAACGCCAACGTCGCCGTTTGGCGCTACCAGCGGCGGCGTTTGCGGCCCATAAATGGGCTGATGAAAGGGCCATGCACAGTAACCCGGGCACTGTGTCTCCGAATTCCCAACCCATGCATATGCGAACCGGGTCGCTCCGCCGGTCGATCCATGTCCACCGCAACGACTCATGCAAAACCCATCAACGGCAACATCTTTCGCAGTCAAAACAACATTAATTGTCCCGCTTAAATTCCTGCCCTTAGCCGCCAGGAAAAGTATATGGGAGTTCGTGAGAGACCTTCCTAAAGAATAGTTTTCTTCCAGAATTTGCTTCCCTACTAGGAGCGTAGATGAACCGAGGGCACCACCCTTGTATTTCTCCGTAGTTTTCCACCATGTTGTAACAGACGGTTGTGGAGCCTTCACAGAGTTGATGGATTGCAGATAATCAACAATTATGGAGCGTTGGATGGGTGTGAACTTGCCATACCATATGAGATTAACGGTGATGGTTCCCTTTAGAAGAGGGCCTCTGTGGTATTTCAACACAAGGGGCTGTTCTTTCACTAAAGCAGCCATTGAAGAAGAGACAAAGAAGATGAAGTAAAGCAAAAATATGGCTCCAGCGGCAGAATAGTAATTTGACGCCATTTTCTCCGAAATTAAAGTGAAATTCAAGAACTCGAAGTGCAGTATATATATAGAGGGAAATTGGGGTATGTACCTAACTATAAGGGTTCCACGTGGTGAGATTTGATTGGTTGGTACGGAGTTTGAGTGTTGCCAGGTTGGAAGGTTCAGCTAATGACGTAGATGGTCTATGGAGGAGGGAGATGGTGACGTGGGAATATAGCCCAACTGATGCCGACATGTTTGTTTATTGGGTATGGGATTTTTTTTTTTTTTTTGTAACAACTGGGAATAATGCCGACATTTTTTGTAAAGTGTGATAAATATGAATGACGAACAAAAGTTACGATAGACATTTTTTTTTGTCAAAATCAGTTGAACTGGACCACAATTGAATTGAAGTGGTCAGTTCCGTTCTAATTAAAATCGATTGATTTTAAGTATGAGAAATAAAAATGAACTATTCTGATTGAATTCACTCGAGTTTTTTTAGTGCATGTAAAATCATATAATTTTACGTCTAGTTTTTTATTAGTGCTCGGTTATGATTTGGTCCGACTTTAGTTAGAACTTGGAACCAACATGCTTAGGTTTTCGACTTGCAAATACTCTTTTAAGGAGAACGGATACAACTTGCTTCATGTGTTCTTGACTGTCTCGGGTTAGTTTAAGATCCAATTCTTTTTCAATGTTGAGCTTTGACTGCGAGACTTTGTTTGGTGGCTTCATTGGCCATGGTTCTTTTTCTTCGAGCCTAAAGGCCAGCCGGCCTCTCATAGAATCTGGGAAGAGTGATACTATAGTTTCGTTCATACGAAGCGTAACTTATCCATCTTCTATTATGTAGTGATGTCGTTTTGATCATCCGTATGTTTAGTGGTGGCAATGGGCCGAGCCAAGCCCACAAGTTTGTGTTTTTATTTTTATTTTTTTAATTTTTACTTTTTTCTTCAGATTTTTACGAGGGCTCGTGAACTTTAGACTCGTGGGTCGTGCCCACGAGCTGTTCGCGAGCTCAACGAGCCGAGCAAGTCGGCTCGGGCTCAGGCTCGTGCTTGTCTCGAAATGAGCCCGAGCCGTCCAGGGACCGAGTATTGACGAGTTGAGCCGACGAACTACCCCGCCATTTTGGACCCTACCTATGTTCCACTCGTGTCCCCATAGGATAATTTATGCCATATAGATTATGTAGTAATATTAGTAAATCTTCATTTAAAACTAAATGTCCTCTTTATTTATTAGGATATGTTGAAAATATAAATAATGTAAAGATGAATTCATCATTTCATCTTGTTTTGAATGGTATAAAGTTTAAAAAGAAGTGGTTGAGCTTCGATAAACAAAAATAGTTCGTTTTGAAAAGGTCCAAAATCCATTTGAATTTTCTTTTCATTCACGGGGTTTTGTTCCATAGAGTGATTTAAGTTAACAATTATTAATTCATAAGGCGAACTACTTTTTAAGATACTATACATAGTGAATTTTTTATTATACCTTGTTTAATTAGTAAAATCGACTCGAGAATAGAAAAAAAAACTATCGTATTCTGAAATTCTTCTCCCCTATTCATTTTAATTACTTAAAGTTTATTAAGAGTTACAAATTAAGGTCCTGTTTGATTGCAACGAATTCCATGAAAAATGTCACATTCGAGGAAAATGAATTTCGCTTTACCCGTTTGATTTCAACGTGGAAATGGAAATCGAATTTCAAGATACAATCACTTTAAACTGTAATTTCTCTATTTTTATGGAAAACGAATTTATGTGGGTTTGGCGAATTTTTATTTTCCAACTAGCATGAAATTGAAATTTCTTTCTACATTTGCCTATCAAATGGACCCTTAGCCTCGATTTAGCCCCTATTATATTTCATTATTTTGTTCCACATTTTCAACAAACATGGGGTCCACCTGTTGATGTGATTGATGTACACAATTAGTAAAAATATTTGATTCGTAGTATTGGAGTCAACCACCGTAAATGCAAATTTCCTTTATTATCCCTATGTTTTGACATGCATGCATATTGTAATTTAAAAACGAGGGCATAACGGTAGATTTGACTTCAATGGTTGGATGGATATTTCTAACTTTCTAACATGTGAAAGAACACTGGGTTCAGGTGTTGTCTTGCATACTATAACAAAACGTAAGTGGGTTGAAAAATGCAAATTAATGGGAATTAATGGGGGCCAAATAGGGGCTTAGGAGGAATTTTTCCCTACCTGTGAACCAAGAGGGAGACATTTTCCCCTGAATTTGCATTAACGGAGGAATATCCCCTTTGTTACTACAAAATCCAGTGAAATTCTTCCTCCGTGTTTGCTATCAAATCCCCTTTATTTAGGGTGGTGGCGGCGGAAGTTATGT